AGCGCCCTTGGCAGCAGCGCAGCATCAAGCGATAGCGCAGCAGCACTTCCGCATTGCCTGCACTGGCCAGAATGCCTGGCCTGGGATGCTCTCTTACTTTTGTGGAAGTAGCAGAGCCTCCTGGATGCTGCGTGTGGCCTGACTGGAAGCTTCCAGTAGCTTCCGGTTGGGCCTCAGACCCTGCGCCCGGGCCCGAGATTACAGTTGAGGGCCTGGGCCCTTTTCAGTTGGGCACGGCCTGAGTCTCCGGACTTGGGCTGTTTGCTGCATCTGTGCAGGGCTCCCAGACAGATGCGTCGACGGTACTGCCTTTGAAAAAGGTCGATGGCCTGCTTCCCAATGTATTCGGCCCTGCTTTGTGTGTATGTGCCCAGGCGCAATTGTCAAGGCCCAGGCCAACTGTATGACGCAGTTTTGTGAGGCTCGCGCGTCTACCCAACCAACTGGCGTGCTGCGAGAGCCTGAATACCCACATATGGAAATGTTGAATTTTGCCTCTGACGAATATTCAGGCCCGCCTTCACGTAGGGCGGGCACTTGGCTTGCTGGGGGCCTTAGCCCAGATCATGTGATGTCTGATAGGGCCCTTTGAGGGCTTGTTCCTCGCATTCCATCCCCCTTAGCTTCGAAAGTCCGCTGAGATGCTTCATGCTTTGTGCCTTCCCCTTCAGTTTCTTCTCATAATCTGCCACGATCTGCGGAGTTGTCTTAACAATTTCCTCCCTTGAAATCCATCGATCTTCCTTCGGATCAGTATGATGCCTAAAATGTACTCTGTACTCCCTTGCAGGTTTAGGTGGTCTTCCCCTGCCAGGTGGCTTGGGAACAGGCGTGTCTCTATGATCCAGGATGTCGTCGACGTCCACGTGGCCATCCATGGTTGGGGGCAGCATAGATCTCCGTGATGGGAACTGTCTGTCTCAGGTGCAATCTTGGAGGCGTGAAAAATAGGGTAAGTGCGTAGGTGACCAGGGATACGAATGACGTACGAGGGACCATCCAAATCATTCCCCACAATGTCTAGGACTTCCCAGGGACCGAAATACTGGGGAATTAGTTTCCTAGAGATGTCAAACTCCTGTCCCAACTCACTAGCCTTGACCCAGACACGTTCCCCTACCTGAAATGTGGACTGTCGACGACGCTTGTTCTCAGAAGCAATCATAGCTTCCTAAGATTTCTTCATGTGTTCGACAATCTGCTGCAACAATTTCTCATACTGGACACCAAATTCAATGGTTCCAGGAGTTACAGCAATTCGGTTTTCAGGCAGGAGGAAGTCTAGAGCAGATCTAGGCTTCCATCCCTGGTACAACTGATTAGGACTGACGTCGGTGGTGCTGTGTACAACATTGTTGTACAGGCTAGCGATGAGAGGTAATTTCTCATCCCAGTCATCCTGGCTGGGCTTGATGTAATGCCTCAGCAGATGCTGCACCACACGATTCATCTCTTCAGCCTGCCAATTTGCTTCGGGATGATTCCCAGAAGTCATCTGAAGCTGGCTGCCCATCTGTTCAGCGGCCTTCTTCCACATCTCACGTGTGAAACACACATCTCTATCGCTAACGATTGTCTTTGGCAGTCCAAAACCGCGCACCCAGTTGTCCATGAACAACTTAATGACGTGCTCAGTCATGGCAGCCTCCGGCATGGCAATTAGTCTAGCATACTTAGTGAACCTATCAACTATGACGAAGATGTGCCTTTTGCTATTCTTGCTGGTCACGAGAGTATCCATGAAAGTCCATGGAGATACACTGCCCTGGGCCATCAGGAATGGGTAGAGGCTTCAGTAGCCCAATCGGAGCTTGAGTCCGCGACTTATCCCGCTGACAGACCTGGCAGGTCTATACGTACTTCTTTGCATCGTCCAACATGTTAGGCCACCATTGTACTAAGTTAGCACTAGTCTTCTTGTAGCCGAAATGTCCCGTTGTGTCGTGGCACTCACCTAAAAATAAACTACGCAAAATTTCCCTAGATGGAACAACTAACCTTTTGAACCCTGCCTTTTCAAGAAAGAGTAACCCATCCACCATCACAAACTCGTCAGTTGTGGCCTTGTCTTTGGCCTGCAGTTTGTTGATGATGTCCATCGTGACGGGATCTTCCTTGTAGGCTTCCCCCAAAGATCGAGTCACGTCCTCAGATAAGCCAAACTCAGAAATTAGCGCACCCAGATAATCTTCCCTTCTAGACAACGCATCTGCAACCTTGTTGTACTCTCCTTTCACATAGTCTAGTTTGAAGTCATACTGATCTATGACTTCAATCCAGCGTTTGAGTGCATCGGAGAGAATGAGTTGTGTCTTGATCCACTTGAGGGTCTGATGGTCAATTCTCAAGTAGAAGAACCTTCCTAACAGATAGTGCCTCCAGTGGACAAGCGCCTTGTAGAGAGCGTAGAGTTTCCTCTCGTAAGTGGACTTTGCCAACTTCTTTGATGACATCTTTTTGCTCATGTACTCGACCGGTCTCAACTTTTTCCCTTCCTGTTGAGCCAGCACTGCGCCAATGCCATATTGACTTGCGTCAGTGGTTACAACAAATGGTCTTTGCGGGTCGGGTACCATGAGAACCTCATGGTGTGTGAGAGCATGCTTCAAACGTTTGAAAGCTGCCTCACACTCGTCGGTCCAGTCCCATGGTGTGTCAAGTCGAGTTAGATCAGTCAAGGGAGATGTGATCGTACTATAATTCTTTACGAAGTTGCAGTAATAACCACACATTCCCAAGAATGATCTGACCTCAGTCACAGACTGGGGTCGTGGCCAGTCACGTATGCTAGCCACCTTTGCATCTTCGGGCCTAATCCCTTCCGCTGATACTTCATGACCCAAGTACAAGATTCGAGTGCGACCGAACTCGCATTTCTCTTTGTTTATCTTATACTTCTGTTGCCGAAGGAGTGAGAGGACTTTGTGTATATGCTGAGCATGCTCCTTGATAGTCTTGCTAAAGATAAGTATATCGTAGAGGTACACGACGACGAACTGATCTAAGTAGTTATGGAAGATCCTATTCATGGCGTGCTGGAATGTACCCTGCGCATTGCAAAGGCCAAAGGGCATCACCACAAACTCGTACAGATCGTACCTGGTCTGAAATGCGGTTTTGTGGCGGTCCTCTGGTCTTATGGCAATCTGATGGTAGCCGGATTTTAAGTCTATCTTATTATAGTACTTACACCCCTGCACCCTATCCAATAGGTCGTCGATGCATGGTAGAGGCTCTGCGTTCTTAACGGTGATGACATTGAGGTCTCTATAATCAATGCACATCCTTAGTGTTCCCCCTTTCTTTGGAACAAATAGGACTGGTGAGCCAAAGGGGGAAGTGCTAGACCGAATCCAACCCTTTTCTGTGAGCTCTATCAGTTGCCGACGAAGTTCGTCCAACTCAGCCGGAGCCATCCTATAGATTCTCCCTCTAGGCATCTTGCTACTTGGGATGATCTCTATGGCATGGACAATCTCCCTGTCAACGACTCCTGAGGGCTCCTTGAACAGATCAGGGTACTTAGCGACGATGGTCTCTATCTCTGCGGGTGTTTTAACGGCCTCCCCGTTCACTGAGACATAGACTAAGTACATACCTTCCCCCAGGTTCTGTTTATAATAATTGTAGAAGGCCGATGCGCACAAACACCCATGAGAGTCTATCAACCTACTAAATTTATACTTAGCTAGTCTAACGGTCCTCCCATTAGGCAATACGTGCTTCAACACTTTCTTGTCCCAGTCAAACTGGGGATTGGCAACCTCGAGGTAGTACATGCCCAACAACATGTCGAAAGGCAACTCATCGCTCACCAGGAAAGATATCTAATGATTTAATTATCCTCCTGGGTAGGAGAAAGTGCAGACTACATCCTTAACGTAGTCCTCCTCCATCATGTGCTCTTTGTTGGCCAAAGTAGATGCTATCGGTCGACTAAGGCGCTGCACCTGGTCCTCTAGGCGCAGTCTCTCAACGCAGTCGCGACTTATGAAGTTTCGCGTGGAGCCAATGTTTACGAAGGCGCCGCACTTGCGACCACCCGCACCAACTTCCACAACGAAGTGCTCCCCTTTAGGACCTCTACTTAGCGCGACCTAGGACACACGAGGGTCCCTTGCCGACCACTCACCTTGAAGGTCCTCTAAGGCTTCAAACACATCCAATGTACAAAGTATAATTGGGTCCGAATGCGTCTGCGGGGTGACTAAGGAGTCAATAGCTTCGGCCAACTCTTGAAATGGGGAGGGTACATCACCCGCTTCAACGAGAGTAGAAGCAACTACAACTTCTACCGGCCCTAAGTGTTTCCCGAGCTGGAGCTTGTAGAGGCCCCAAACTGAGAAGAAGGAAACCCACCCTTAGAAGGGATCTTCTGCAAGACCTTCGGGTTCTTGCACTTAAACTGGGTATGTTCGTACTCGCCGTAGTTAATGGAAGCACCCACGACCAACGGTCCCGCCACACATCTTGTTCCAAACCAGCCCTTACCCAAGCAACTATTTTGTTTGGGTTGGCGGCTTGCCCCTACCTCCTCTGTTGACCGCCCTTGCCGTGGCCAACTGCCTTAGTCTTAACCGCAGCGGCGAGGTTGCTACCCTCAACAATCTCCTCGCGTCTAACTCTGACCCCTCCACAAGCTCAAAAACATCATCGATCTCCGTTTGATTCCCTTCGGAATCAACCATCGTCAATCGACTACCTTTCTTCTTCCACTTTTGTGGAGCTTTCTTCTTTCTTCCATCCGTAGAAGGGGTTTGAGCATTACCCAGCGTAGCCTCTAAGTCTAGGGCCTTCTTGCTGAATGCCTCAAATGTGTGATACTCTCTACGAGCCTCACTGGCTAATAAGTTCTTGATGTCTGTGGGAAGACATCTCAACAACGTGGTCAACAAGACTTGTGGATTGTACTCCACTCCTGGGACGACAATCAGGCGTTCTACGGTCGTGGTAAGCTCTCTCACTGACTTGTACTTCCTAGCATCAAGCTTTAGTAGCCCATCCGTGGCAATCTGTGTCTGCTGAGGGTTGTGCCATCGAGCCTTCACTAAGTCCATAAGACTCTCTAGGGTGTGGGTCTGTGCCCAATCACCCATGTTCCTGTCGAACCCGTTTGAAGCTACCAATCCATTCAGCTAGCGAGCTGCTGAACCCTCTAAGTAGGATGCCGCAGTTATCACTTCGTCTTCTAACAACGTCCTCTTTGCCCTTACCCACACTGGAACCGTTCTCAACCGCGTGTCGAGAGCCTCATCCTTCTTGTCTCCTGAGAAGGTTGGAGTTGGTTTCAGGGGGGTCTTGGGGTACCAAGGTAGTTGCTGTCCCGATGGTGGGACAGGTGGCGACTGTGGTGTAGCTCCAGTCGCTAGACCAGAAGATGAAGAAGCTACAGTCTGTGAGATGGTTGTTGTTGATGTACTACTTGGTGATGGTCCGGACTGAGCGGCATAGGGGCCTGTCATCGCTGAGAATGGCAGCGATGGCGAGACTGCTGGCCTGACTCCTGGCCTGTGCATGGCATTCGGGATTTGGTCTAAGGTGTCCTGGATTGTATCCAGTTTACAGTCCATGTATGCGTGCATGGACATGATGCTCGCCTTAAAAATCTTTTCAGTATTGCTAAGGGTCGAGTCATCTAATCCCTCTAGCGCAACCTTGTCTGCCTCCCTACCCTCTAGTTTGACACTTCTGTCTCTAATTTCCTTCTCTCTTTTAGTAGCCTGTTTAAGCTCCTCTTTTAGCCTCAAGTGAATCCTCTCTACTTGCTGGAGCTCCATCTGCTCCCGGGTGCGTGGAGGCGGCGAGCTGAACTACGAACCCGCCATCTGACTAGTGCCAGCTCCTAACGTACTGGAGATGGACTGTGAACTGGTCGCATTGAGTGGCATACCCAACATTTGACCAGTGGATTGTGCGGCAGAAGTGGATGAAGAAGTAGCCATAGCTACTGCGCTAGCTGCTGCTGCTGCTAACGCGCGTTCAGCCGCTGCTGTCGCCTCTCTCGCAGTCTCTAGATTCCGGGCCCTTGGTTCGGCCCTCAACCTTCTCTCGTCTCCTGGTAGTAGGACCTGGAACACAACGAGTATCCTACCGGTCTCCCGTTGCGTCTGCCTCCTATCGTCAATTGTCCCTTCAGCACCCTCTGATCCACTCATGGGCGAGGCAGACGCTGTCTGGACTAATGTCCTCTTTGGGACCTACCGCAACATGCGTCTGGCCGGTTTTAAAAATAAATAAACTAAATTAATGTTTGGCGAGTCACCTAGACTACTTATCAAGCAACATCAACAACGCCTACACATAATGTACACACTTAGTCTACTTCTATTCCGATTAGTTCTGTTCAGAAGCTTTGAGGAGACCTGACTATGGTAGATTACAGTCCTACTCTAGGCTGTCTGTTAGGCGTCAGCAGTTTGTCAACCAACTAATCAAAAATAGAAACAGACTATTGTGAGCAGATGTATGCACAATGGGTAAAGTAGTGACGTAGAGTTGAGTTCACAATTGGAATCCCCTTTCCCTGTATCCAACCTACCTGTGATCATCATCAAGCTGCGGTGTGTAAGGTGTGCAACCACGACCCACCCCTGTGCCCAAGGAGTATGCTTATGACCAGCCTCCCCTTTGTTTACCCTCGCGTGCAACGAGCCTTACGTCTGACTGATCTGGCTGATCAAGAGGCAATTTAAGGACAGCCCCTGAGAGTCCTCAGGAATTCTTTAACGTTGCAATCAGGACAACGATCACAGCCAGTGGACAGTTCAGACCCCAACCAGAAATGTTTATAGACGGTCTGGGAGCGTCTCCGTAGGACTGGTCAGTCCGCACACCCCTTCTATCAGCGCAGCAAAGAGCCTCAATGGACAAAGCAGCATGGCCTGCGTGTACTACTACCCGTGGGTTGGCATGGTGACCGTGACCCGTGCTTCGACCAGGGCCCTTCAGAGGCTCCGCCCTCTCCTGCCAGATGCGCCACCGGGAAGAATGTTGTCTCTCAAGGTAGAGCGCACACAACTCCTCACCAAAGAGAGGACACTCAAGTTGGACTCACTTCCTCACGGTAAGAAGAGATTGAGAGGGTAGATAAGGAATGGGAGCAACGTACCTGGAGATGGCTGCCCCCAACCACAGATTTCTCACCAATTGGGCCGACGTGCATTTCGATGACCGGTCAATAGCCTTGGTACCACCCACAACGCAATGCAGTGCCACGTCAGCAAAATGCCACGTCAGCATACTCTCGTCATCATGCATACACCCGCTGTCGCCACAGCCTTCCAGCGGCCGGCCCCTCTACCTGGGCCCCGCTATCACAAACCAGCGCCAAAGTATCCTTACTGCACATGAAGCATCGTCAGCGCACC